TCCAAGTCCCGTTAAACACTGCTATTTTTTGCACAGAACTGCCATGAAAAGGGAATTCTCACACAAAGCTTGTCAGCCTCTATGCTACTAACCTGTAAGGGTTGTGCTCTGAGTGTTAACAAGAAGAGTAATTGAGAAGGTTTATTCGTGGTTAAATCCCCTCAACCTGTAAAAGAAACAGGGAGGAGTCAGTGAGGAATGGGTACTTCTACTTCTGACTCATCCAATTATTCAATTGGGCATCCGGATCAATCCTCTTGTATGGATTAATAGGCTTCCAAGGTGAGGACTTCTTCAACTCACTTGGGATTAGTCTTTTAACAACAATCTAGATTAATAAGTGTATCAACACTTAAGGACCAGAATTGTTTAACCTGGGGGATAATTCTTTATGCAATAGAGATAAGTAGAAATGCCTTGAATCTGAGCAAAGTAAATCTATTTAGGTCTAAGGTAGCTGGATTGTAATGTTATTGGTGGGTTGAATCACTAATAATCACGGTACAAGTGTTGGTTTGATGCTACTAGAATTTCCTGGGGGGAAAAGGTAGGAATCTGAGCTCCTTAAATATTCTACAGGGGGCTCAGGGGAAGAGGAGAGGCCCTCAGGGCACTAGGGAGCTTCTTAGCAGCTCTACAATTTCGTGTAAGGATGGGAGCTGCAGCTGTGCAGTGCTATGCATGGGTGGAAGGTCCTAGGACATGAGATCATACATGCATAATTGAGTTTTGTGGCCTATTCTCCACGTATTGAAAGCCTACAGTTACTGTGCAGGGGCTGTGCCAATGTAGAGTTGCTGCATACGTGTAACTCTGCTTATGCAAGCTGTGATCATGAGAAATGCATGTCCTCATGCATAATTCAGTCTTGCATGTAGAATTTGGGCTCCTTTCTCGTGTAGGCTGCTTTGAATTATGCATGCTTTGAATTAGAGCACAAAAGGGTCCTGATGACGCCATCCAAGAGGGTTATGATGCAATCTGATGCCCTGATGATGTGATCAAGGATGGGTAAGCTTCAGATAAATCTATATAGCTTATTGTGGGAGGGGTTTCACGCTTCTACTAGCTGATTCTTTATACATATGTAATTATTTATGGCTTATAAAATATGTACATAATGTATAAGAATAAATAATGTTTTAATACTTTATTCTAATGATATTTCTGTGAAATCCTAGTGATATTATATGTACAATACTCAAGGGGATTTCACAGTTGGTTATAGAATTATTAAATATAAATTATGAGTTAAGATTAAATGTAAATACATATTTATTTATTTATTATTCTAACAACAATTTATAATATTTTCCAGTATTCAATTATTTATTATTATTGCAGTTACTAGGTACATTTCACGTACTGTGAAATGTGCTCTGTGGCTGACAAAGCTGGAATGCCCCCTAAAACACTCACGATTCTAGCCAAACAAGTCATGCAACTAGTCAAACAGATGTTACCAGCTTTGCTTTCAACTTTATTATGTTTTGAATGTTGCACAAATATTTCAAGCTTTTTTAATGTATGTACTTGTCTTTCAATCTGGCTTAGGTTGCATTTTTAAATCTGAAAACTTTGGAAGACTAAACAATGGATAAAAAAAAGAGGGATTCCTCTCGGCCGTTGAGACAATACACTCTCAGCGGCCAAGAGGTATTCCTCTTGGCTTTTGAGACCATATACATATTTATTTCATTTATATTTTTATTATTATTTTTTTGTTAGGGGAACGACTACCAAACCTTTTGAAGGTCTTGGAGTTCCAACTCCCAATTTTGGGGTTGGACGTCCTGAGGACCATCCGCAGACGGTCCTCTTGAAGTCCCAGAAATTTGGGAGTTAGAACTCCAATTTCTGGGAGTCGTTTAACTAAGACCCAAATTAAAACCGCAAGTCAGACAACTATTCCTGCTCTTAGGTAAATTTTCTCTTCTTATCAAAAAAGAATCTCAACTTCACTATTGTACATAGTCACTCAAGCCTAATGGCAACGGTGGGCCAGCTACGCTAACCGTAGTGTTACATAGCGTAGTGTAGCAAAAAATCACTACAATTTAGTGTAGCATTAGTGCTTTTTTCAATTTCTGCACTAACACTACGCGCATGGGGGAAAAATTTGTGCTAACGTTTAGCGTAGCTTTAGCGTGATTCCCCCCATCTGCGCTAAAGCTACGCGCACAGGGCACAAAAAACCGCCAGCTACACTGCGTTACAGCAATTTTTAGCAGTTTTTAGGCGTTTTTTGCCGCTAAAAACATTCCAGCGTAGCGGCGCGCTAACACAGCAGCAAAAATTGGCTAGTTTTAGCGCCGCTGCAAGTTAGCGTAGCGCAGCGGCAGTAGCGGCATGCTAACACTACACGAAAAAATGGTGCCGCTACGCTAACGCTACATGGGCCTGTAGCGTAGTGTAGCATAGCAGCCCATCGCTGCTAATGGAATAAATCCTGTTCTCATTTGCTCCAATTTTTACACATAAGAAATACCTCCTTCAGTTTGTTAATTAAATTCTACCACATAAAATTACCTCAAATCAAAAATGTTTGATTTGTTTGAGGACTTGTGCTACTATTTCCACAGAAATTGGAGGTGATTCCCCAAATGGTGCTTTGGTTTGGCACATGTATCATGCTTTTAAAGGTCATAATACACAGAATATTAGAAAATCTGGTTGAACTGATCCTTAATTATGACTGATTTTTTTCCAAAATGAGTTCTCAATGTGAAGACTTCTCCAATTCCAGAAAACACTGTCATTTTTTGTAGAAAAATGCCTTGGATTGCCTTCTTGACACCAAACACTGTGTCTTTGAGAGCCTGAAAGAGGTGTGGGTTTACAAATTTATGGTAGAGTATCTCCCTTTTTATATCCATTGCTGCATTGATAATTGCACTACCCTCCCTAAGGGTGTAACCCGTGGTTTGAGCTGGGGTGTGAGGGCTAAACCAAACCCAAAACCCCGGTCTCATTGGGGCATCAGGGCATGCCCCAATAATTTTTTATGCCAGCCTTCAGCTGCTGAGCAGCTGAAGCACACGGCCGGCATAAAAGATCATTGGGATTGGCCACCACATCATTATGAAGTGCAAGGTCTTGGAGCTCCCCCCTCCTGTGTCTGCTTCCCAACCCTCCAATCCAACATCTTTGAAATGATCTCACTAACCAAAATTTATTGAAATAGAGGATGATGAAGCCGACTATGTCGACATGGAAGATAGTGGTTCCAAAAATCACCCCAAGAGTCAATCCTCAAAGCAAAGTTTGGCATGGTACAAGTGGAAATTGCTCGCTACTTGAAAGAGGAACCTGAATCTGAAGGCATCAAGATACTTGACTATTGGTCCTCGGCACATTCCCAAAGTTTTCAATGATGGCACTACAATTCCTTGCCATTCCAGCAACAAGTGCCTCATCTGAGCGCGCTTTTTAGAAGGGCCAACAAATAGTTTCTTGGCATTGATCAAACTTAACAGTGAGTAGCATCAAGCAACTCTTACGCTTCAAGGATTAGTACAAGGCCTTTGATGGGCTCATGGGCCATTATGATATCTCTTTTTTATTGTTGTTTGCTTCCCACAAACTCTGTAAATAGAATTATGGCCATTAATGCCTGCTTATACATCACCTTGAGCAAGTGAAAAACATGCAAAAAGACTATAAGCCTCCAAGTTTGCACCCCCTGCCCTCATCACCACGTACAACTATCATGCCCCGGGGTCCGGGGCATCCCAAAAGGCAATTCCAAACCCTGATCCCTGGGGCTTAAGCCCTGGGGCATGGGCTTGGGGCTTGGCTTTTGGTTACACCCTTAACCCTCCCCCATGCGCCCGCCCAATTGCCCAAGAAAGCATCAGACAGGAAAACACTCACCCTGATGGTAATCACTTGTGACATTACATTGTGAAACCTCACCTGTGACATTACATTGTGAAACCCAATGGAGGAGGTGTTCTTACATACAGCATGTCCAGTGGGTGCTAGAAAGGATATCTGGAAAGTGGAAACTCACAATTGCCTCAGGTCAACTACAAGGTTTGTGACATGTCTGTGAAAGGTATGTAGCACAAACAAATGACAAGTAAATTTGAGCAGGAGAACTCAACAACTATGTCTGGAGGTACTTGATGGAGCCTACCATATTCGTAATTGTCTCAAGCTCCCTTAGCTTCCTTTGAAAATGTCACACAAACTCATCAAGCTTATTCATAGCTTGTTTACTTGGATAATTCTAACAAGTGTTATCTTGATCCTCCTATAAATCAGGCTGTGAGTTGTTTTAAACTGTTCACACAAAATGACTTCTTTGAGGACTGGATAACTTCTGGTTGCAATCTATAACCCTCCCAGACATCAATTTACATCTTTTCACAAAAAAAATATTTTTCAAAAAATTTATAGAAATAGCTCTCAGACTCATGTGGGCAGGGTGTAATCTTTATTTCTTTGTTAATTTTGCAAAATCTTTCTGGTGGGACAATAAAAACCTTCTGGTGAAAAGATATATTGAACCCCCCCTAATATGTCACCAATTCACTAATATCTTGATCATTGATATTTGTGTACAGGTATTGGAAAATAAGAACCAACATTTGGTTATCTAACTTTTCATAAAACTAGCATAAAAATTTATGAATGGATTTTTGATCCATTTTTCAGTCTTTGAAAAGTTTCAGATGAAAAAATTAAACCCATGCTAGATTGCTAGGGAAGTATATACAGTAAAGAAACTTGTAATTTTCATCCAACAGTCTAAAATTGTAAGCAAAGCCATCTGTTTGACCAATTGTACCAATTGTTTGGCTAGCATCATGAGTGTCTTAGGGGTCATTCCAGCCTTGTTGAGGAATTCCCTTACCTTCATCGGGGCCTGATGTAAGCACATCTTTCACAACAAAGCTGATACCCATATTCGCTAGAACGTAGCTGCATGGTCCTTGAGCCGCAATGGGGACATTGGGTAACTGACTGAAAAATTTGAGATACTTAAGTTGCCAATGTCTTTCTTGGTCTAAATTGAACTTGAGGAGATTGCTTACACTGGATCCTCTTTCACTACGGCTCCGAGATCTATACTCAGCTTGTATTCTTTGTTGACGTAATGTTTGTCTTTCCGTGTATCTTTCAAGCAGTACTGGATCAGCTGTTCGGCAACTTGGGCATGCTGTATGTTTTTGATCTCCACCATTACGCCAACCATCAATACAATCAACGTGAAATTGATGCTGGCAACCATTCCATTTGCAGGTTGCCTCACCAGTGTCCTCCTTACAAATTGCACATTCAGTGTATTCAGCTTGCACCTAAACAAAGCAAACACATCCAATGAAAACAGATGAGATTTTTCTTCTTCTGGCATCATATCAAACCTCTAGTAAGTGACTCACATTATGTGACATACGTTTTGCGAGTTGTTTTCTTGGTTTTAGTAGCACTTTTGAATCTAAAAAAGCTAACAAGTTTATAAGGGATCACACTTATTCAGTTTTTGTTGTCTTGTATGGTTCCCCTGACAAATGTGCAAATGATTTTACCAATTTCATTGGACATAGATAGAATTGGGGTTGCAAGTATTACTTGCAGAAGCTGGCAATTTGCAGAGTGGGCCATTAGTAATTAATAGGCCAACTTTGCTTCAGGGAAATATCTAACCATGCCAACCACTAAGCTGTAAATTGAAACCATCTTCAAGAAAGATACTGATATGCCAAATGAGTGTGTCTGCTCAAAATTCTCTCTAGCAATAGTGGAATGATGAACCAAAGTCACCTAATGTCAATGTTTGGAAGGCAAGTATTTATATTCAAGACAGCCTGCCCATGCACCCAAGAGATGAAGCTTGACATTGCGAAATATTTTCATATTGATTTGTGCTACAGTGATCATTAGTGAAACTTGTGCATACATAGGCCAGAGTTATCAAAACCTGAGTATTTGATCTTTAGCAGTGACAAACGTACGCCCGCAGCTTGACAGGATTCAGTTTGTGTCGGATAACGGTGACCTGTTCGGACGCTTCGGAAAAATGTGGACCCGAATGTAAAACCCAATTGGGCAGGTTGGGTCGGGTAACATTTTTGAAAGGGACCGCTCCATCTGTAAAGAGGCAAATTGCGTTTCGGGCCGGGGCGGTCCGACCCATAGGCTTGCGGGATACGGCTCTTGACACTACAGTGAATTTTTCGGGATATGATTATGCTCACGCCGGTTGGGTTTCATGCACGGGTGCTGAGAATGGTATGGCAAAATAAAAGACTCGCTCAATGACTGGTTTTGTGATAACGATAGAGTTGTCGTCAATGCTAATCTACATATTCGGCTGAAGCAAGAAGGTGACACAAGTGATGTTGCGTAGGTGTCAAGATATAAACTCTCTTCACATCCAGTAATATTTCCAAACCTTGCAAGGTTCAAAGTAGTACATATTATTCGAGGAGATAGAGATCGCTTTGAACGAGTTTCGGTAAAAGGGAAGATAGTTTCTTGAACAGGCAACCAATCTGATTTGATGTTTCTTCGACCTGTAGGAGTAAGCGAAACGATTTATCGACCTGACCGACCCGTGTCTGAAAGACAAAATAGTAAGAAAGATAATCAATGATAGGCTCTGCAAAGCAGAGAAAAATTGCCTAGTGATGACCGCTCGAGACTCACACTCCAGATTGCCTAGGGTTTGGAGTGAGATCTGAAGACCAACAGTCCGCGCTCATCACAGATTTTAAGAGGGAAGGCTGTTGAACCGGACGGCGATCCGGACCAGTGTCGCCTTGATCGAAAGGGGCCGCCCGCATCGCAACAATCTCAAGCTCGATCTCCGGCTGCGCTTCTTCACCGGCTTCAGGGGCCGGCACTGTGTGTTTCTTCATTGTGATCAGATGGCCGGGACTGCAGGATGGCAACAGACGCTCTTGTTTCTCTCAAAAATGCACCACCGTCAATGGAACTTCCTCTAAATCACCGTATTTACCATCATACAAACAAAGCCAATTGGCCACGCGGCGAACGGTATTAAACGTTTACTGGAACACGAACGAGGTGTCAATATAATTGACCAGTATGATATATGATGGTGCGGTAGTCCTCATCAACAAAGTCTTTTTCCACGACGGGTTACCGGGAGAAAGAACCGAGTCGACGCTTGATTTTCTGAGTAATGCGACATTCAATATTTAGTACACACATTGCCACAAATTTACGCAATAATTAATGTAAATCGTAAGTGAGAATGTGTTACACACAATTGTCTTTGACCAAGCCATTGACCTCGGTCATCTTCAAGTCATTTTTTCTGCCACTTGAGCTTCAAACACGTCCATAATCCAGAAGAGCTCGGATCTGCTCCTTAATAGGGTGCAATATGTGGAACTGAGTGTGAGTTGTATGGAAACCACGCTTTTGTGAAATCAATCCAAATCATAACGTCTTGACCATGGTTTGTTTTGAATTTTCTGTTAGAGGACTGGCTGATTTCCGAATCGACCTTCCTTCCATCGACAACTGTGGAAGTAGATTAAAGCAAATGAAGGCACACGAGACAGGAGAAAAACAAGTCATCAATCGGCTTACTTTGATGACCCCATCAATATCTGCTCTGCTTGATTATCAAATAGACACCCAGCTTCCTGTGTTGGTTTGGCGGGTACAACGGCGGCCCGGGCTGGCCTGGGGGGCTAAATGGAGCAATTAAACTGAATTTAGCTCCCTCCTGAGGCTCAACCCAATCTAGCCCTTCCAGCGGAGGTAGGGAAAAACCTCATCATCAACCACCAAAAACCGACCACCTTTTTCAGTCATCCAAACATCACAATCCTAAAAAAAAAAACCCAAAAAAGTATCTTCTTTATCCTATCCTATCCAATTGATCTTGTAATCACCGTATCTTCTTCCCCTTTCCCTGTTTATCCTTTCCCCCTCCGACCTCTTTAAGATTGAGTTTTCCGATCCCCCCCAAAAAACAAGGTTTCAACCTTACGCTTCGGGTCGCATGGGTCAGCCTATGCCTCCCAAAAGCCATAACGGTTCTCGGACCAACCAGGAAGGTTGGTCAAAGAACATAGAGATGGAGGACATTGATTCCTCCGGGTCAACTGTTGACCGTTCTCAAACCCCTGTCCAATCAGACTTCACTAAAAATCCTCCTCTTAATAGTTCTCGTCATAATCCTGAGAACGGTTTCTTCAAAGCTTTTGCAGAAATCCTCGCTAATCGGAACTCCAATGGGAGTATCTTTATACAACCTGATAAGGTTAACTCGTTACTTCCTCTTTTTGAGATCGAAAAGATAGCTAGCGTTCAAACTCTATCTCTGGTAGAGAAGATCACTATCCGTTTAGACTCCTTTGAGAGATCACTCAACTCGGTAGTCAACTCATCCTCGAAATCCTCACCTGCATGGGTGTCAGTTCCAAAAAAGGGTGTCCCTTCTAAATCGATTCCTCATTCTATTGTCTCTCGCCCTCCCCCTTCTACCCAAATTCTTAATGAGTTCAAGTCGGCCTTTTTTGTTATTCGTAAGACTACCCCGGACTCACGTCCCTTTTTCCAAATGTCAGTATCAGACATTACTGATAAAGTGAATGAAGTCCTCAAGGATAATGAGGCTAAGACAGATGATGGCGTACCCATCTCTGTCAAAGGAGCAGCCCACCTTCCTTCTGGGGATTTTAAATTCTTTACTCAAACTCGATTTGCTGCCAACTGGCTGCTTGAACACAAGCATGAGTGGACACACTTGTGTGATCCTTCTCTAGTTACTCCTCCTTCTACATTCCCGGTTATTCTTCACTCGGTCCCTATCTCTTTCACCCCTTCCAATCCATCCTCTCTCTCTGATCTCTGTAAAGAGAATCATATTCATCCAGAGCATATCCACAGTGCGCGTTGGCTAGGTAACCCCCAAGGCAACAAGAAATCCCATGGTTCCATTATTGTCAATTTCCGTGAGAAGGAACTTGCAAAAAAAATTGAGAAGATTAGCCTTTTCTTCAACAGACTTTGCCTCACCGGTGCTCACTATAAAAAATCTCCAATTCAATGTTTCCAGTGTCTTGAAGTTGGTCATACTGCACAGTTTTGTAAAAATACTCCTCTTTGTCAACATTGTGGCGACTCACATAATTCTATTGAATGCAAAGCTGATATCAGTAATAATAATTGTGTAAAATGTATTCAGTATGAGAAAAAAATAATCCTTCTTTTGTTGCCGATGTTGATAATGTTCGTTTCAATCATTCGCCTATGAGTCTCAAATGTCCGCTCAAAACTAAGAATTTTTGCTGTAATATTATCAATCAATGAGTAATTACAACCCTTTGTATCCTCACCCTTCCTCCCAAAATTTCCATCCTGGTTCTTCATCACCTTTTTCCGATTCACCTAATACTCCCTTCAGAATTCTACAACTCAATTGTCACAATTCCTTCGACGTTACGACCAACGCACTCAATTCCAAATCTCGCTTTTCAATCCTTGTTCTTCAAGAGCCCTGGATTAATCCTCACACGCTGAAGTTACCCCATTACGCAAGCTGGTCTTGTATTCTTGACTCCAATCACTCTCCATCTAATTATTCTGACAAACATCGCACATGCTTTTTCCTCGACAAATCTTTCTCTTCTGAAGACATTCATCTTATCAAAGACGGTAATTGGATCCTTTCGGCAATTGACCTATCTATCAACAACAGCAGAGTCAAGAAGATTCGCTCAATCAATCTTTACAATCCCCCAAGAATTTTTGAAGGAATCAAATGTCTTACCAATTGGCTGGACCAACATAACGATCGTCGAATCCCTTCCTTCATCTTCATGGACTCTAATCTCCATCACCGTTCTTGGAATCCCCCTAATTATAATCATTCTCATCAACAATCGAAAGACCTCATCAGAACTTGCGGTCGTCATGGTTTCAAGATTGTTTCAGAAAAAGGCAAACCAACCTTTATGAACAGAAGAACCAGTTCCACAGTTATCGACCTTGTCTGGGGAAATTTCTCTTGTCTTCAGTATATTGATTTGTGTTGTACTTCCTCCAACAATTTCGGATCCGATCATCAGGCTATTGTTCTTAATCTTAACTTCAATCCTCATCCGATTCCTGTTACTAGACTTTCTGTTGATCTAAAGTGTGTAGATTCTAATAAGTTTTGTTCGGATTTATCCAAATGTTTAGAAAAATTAACTTTTTTTTCTCTCAATTGTAGTTCCAATGTTGATAAACTTGTTGATGAGCTCACAATGTCTTTCCAAAATTCCATTGATTGCCAAAAAAAGACAGTCAATTCCAACAGCCCAAAATTCAAAGCCTGGTGGGATAAGGACATCCTTTCGCCAATCATTCAGAATCGAAATCGAGCTCGAAAATGGATGCTAATCGCGCGATCAGTTCAAGCTTCCGACTGTTACCATTTCTGGCAAAAGAAGTTCAAGGAGAAGGTTTTCGAATTGAAACAAATTCACTGGCAAAAATTTTTGGCAGAATGTAAAGATCATCAGATCTTTAAGGCTTACAAGTTCACTAAACCTGTTAGCAGTGGTAATATCGCCCCTCTGTTGAATGAGAATGAGGATCTTACCTCAGATAAGGGGGAACAAGCTCGTCTTCTTTTCAAAGGTACTTCGGAAGTCCCTATCAATTGTGATTTGGAGGATATCATCCCTCCTTTTTTCCCTACTCCTTTTTCGTTTCCCAATATATCCGTCCCCAAAGTCGATAATACTATCTCTAATCTTCCTAAAAAGAAAGCTAGCGGTGTAGGACTCCTGGGACGGATAGACACGGTAAAGTATATGTATATCAAAAGATCCCTTGAGGGGGAAATAAATTGCAAATAGGTTGAAAGGCTATTACAACTTACGGGTGGTTTGAAAGACCTGCCCCTCTAAATGTACTAAACAAATAACTAAGAGTCTTGTAATCAATATTTAATAATGTATGGCTGATTCCAAGATAGATCTTACTTTCGTAAAGTAATCTCTATCAGACCTAGATCACGTATCAATCTACTAATGAATCTGTTACAACTTCAGGTTAATAATGGAAACTGGTGTGCTGATGACTTGAGCACGAAACAGATGAGTTGTTATAGAGTTTGTTAATGATCTCTTCCTCGAACAATTTCTTGCTAAGGCACTTTAATCAAAA